CCCCCCCCCCCCCACAATTCCTGATCCCATTGTAACTTACATCAGTGTAAAAAGTCCCTGGCATGCATTACATTTGTAAATAAATAAATGTAATGCAACATGCCACATGTTCAGCGAATTTATGATGCTATAAAATGGCCAACCAGCCACAAGATATTGCACATGAAATGTCTGGCAGTCTGAGGTCTGGAACCCATATGGGAGTTCCTGATACCAACAGTTGTTGATGATCATTTTAGGACTTTGGACAGCCTCAATCCAATCCCAACAATGAGCTGTCTGGCAGGTGGGTTGCCACGTTCCCAGGTGGGTGAGCCAAGGGCCCCAAGGGCTTCCCCCAGTGGAAACCTTGCAACTCTTGCATTTGGCAATTTTTAAAACTACATATAAAGTGTCAGGTTTCACCAAAGCCAGAGACTCGCTTCAGCCCAGTACATCAAAGTTCCTAGCCCCACAGCTCCTCAGCCTAACGGTTTCTGAAGGCAGGGCTGGCAGTCGAAGGTATGGGTGCATATTGATGTATGCATCGTGCATATTGATGTATGCATTGTGCCAGGTCTCCAGCTGGCTCTGGGGCTGTCCAGAGCCAGGGCTGACAGTCATCAGTTTGTTGACCCTGGCCTCAGACAACCCAAGCTTTAGGACTACTTTCAGCCCAGTCCTTGAGGGCTGTGGACAGCGTTGTTGCAGTCAGGATCTGAGGAATTTTATGCCCCATCCCAAACACAGCACATCTTGCCATGCACCCCAGTTACTCCATTATTTTAACATTTGCCAGGGGCTCAAGATTGGTGCAAATTATACTAGGGTAAGTGTTTTTGTTTTTTCCTGCTGTCATGCTCACTGTTCAGGCAGATCTGCAAAGCTAGTGGTGATGCAGTTCATGAAGAAGGACATAATTAGCTGAAAGAGCAGTTTATAGAAACCTGCTCTTTTTTTCTTTATGACACTGCCTGGTTATAAATAGTTCTTCTGCTTATGTATAATGTTTGTTGATTCTCTTTTCATTTTGTTTTTTATTTAAAGATGTAGCTAGGTAAATGGCAGCATTCTGGGGAGGCGGGGAGGGGATTCATATACTTCTGCATTTTCTTACTCAACTGAAGTCATCCTATTTGAAATGACACAGTCAGACTCCTGAGATGTACAATTGGGATTTATTTCTATAGCTGGGGAATGGCCTTGACTGTAACTGGAAGGATCAGAGCATCAGAAACAGGAGTTCGTAAGCAACAAATATCCTCTTGTCCTTGCTTATAAAGAGAAAACAAATTGCAGAAAACATCCTAGAGCACGAGGGCTGCCTATACATGTGCTCAGGGGTGAGGGGCTGTCTCAATTAGAGCAGTTCCCAGAGACCTGCTCTAATTAAAATGCTTCACTGTCATGTATCTTGAGCCCCCGTTCATTTAAGAAATGGTTATGGGACGCTTTATCTAAACCTCAGTCAATGAGGTTTAGATAAAGTGGCCCCACAGCCATTTTAAAATGTGCAGGGGCTTCCACACGTGACAATGAGGCAATGCTGGAGCATTCTAATTAGAACATGGAGCAAACTCGATTAATCATGTCTGCTCTGACACATTCTAAATATGAACTAGCACATGTATCGGCAGCCAAAGAGAACTGTTTTTTAAATGTGGCAATCACTGAAAAAATAAAAGCATCTCTGTTTCTCATAGTGACTTGAAAATAAGAGTCTGTAGTATCCTCCATCTTTGGGATCTTTTTCAGAGAGGAACTTTGTTGTTGTTGCTGCATCTGTTTACATATATTTATCCTCGGGATGAGGGAAAACAGGTTTAACAGTCAAAAGAAGCACAGGCCAGAGGGAGTAAAAATGAGGGGTCAAGAAGGATCTTGTAAAGCATACGAAAAGGGAAATTGTCCCATGAAGAATATCCCTTTCCAACAGGAGTCCTGCCTTCTTTCCTTTCTCAGTGAGCCAGCAACCTTATGCTGCCAGTGACTCCAAGCTCTGCGCCAGTTTCCATCTGCTCCCTCTAGCTGTTAGAAAGAGACTGAGCCCCTCTACTAGAACTGTTTATCTCCTGGCTCCCTTTAGGCCTTAGAACAATAGCAAACCCTGAAGGTATTAGGGTATTAGCTGTATAGCTCTGGTATGTAAAGATTCCTGAATGTTTTTGGAAGGGTAGGAAGGCTGTTTAAAATGGAATATGCAATTCAGTTAGCATGTTGGAATAAAAAGGTCACTAGAGACAGATGTGCAATGGTGAAACTGAGCTCAGAGTATGATGCCATCAGAAGTCCATTGACTTCAGTGGAATTATTCCTGATTTTAATTATTTTATTTTTATGGTTCCATCCTGCAAAGTGTTGAATACTTTCAGATCTTTTTCAGGTTTCTAGAAATAGATGCCATAGAGAACTTTGCCAGAGGTTCTGAGCACCTTGCAATTTCAGATACTTTCACTGGTAGAATCTCAAACCATATCGAGATTGGAGTCTCTCTAACTCTGTCTAGCCTTGCTGTGATGATGTGTATGCCTTTGCAAAGAAATAGGTGGTTGAATCCATACAGCTCCCACCTTACTAGACTACTAAGACATGCTGACAAGAGTGAGGATGGCAGGGAGGAGGTGGGGCAGTATTTTTATGTTCCTTCCACACATGCACAGGCTGGCATAGCATGGGGGTATTTGCTACACTTCCAGATATGCTGGAGCAGTTGGGATGCTCCACCTGCAGGCTGAAGGCCACATAATGACAGTCTGCTCCTCTGAGGCAGGGTTCTTTCCTTCCCCTCTGACAATGACTCCATATTACTGCCTGTATCAGAATGTATCCAGAGTTTGTATCCCATTTATAAACATAATTAAGATGAGCACTGATTCATTGTAGAAGTAGCATTTTATAACAACTGTTTAAAAATGTAATTATTTCTCCTTTCTCCTCCTCCTGCTGGTTATTTAGGGTTTGAATGCTGTATTTGATGCTCTGGTGATTAGCAGACTAGATATTTTGGAGCTTATTCACAAGGTACTCCATAAGGACAAGTCACTGGAGGTGAGTGTACTCCATTTCTGATCAGTCTTGCTATCCTGACAATCCTGTCCTACAAGAGAAAGATGCCATTTTACAGTCTTGTGTAAATTGGGAGTTAAAAACTAGAAGCAGCTTTAGGGCAAGCAAAACAAGGCAATGATCCAGAACCTCTTTGCAGTGATAAAGGTAGTGTGCTTGGGTTTTGGCTGGATGCAGCAGTGATTGCACTCCATAGATTTTTCTTACGACAGTATTTAAAAAGATGCTGCCTAAGTATTGGGAAAACTGGTTACTGTGTGTAGTAGAGATGAGACCATTCTCCCCAGTCAATAACCAGGAAACAAAAGTTGATGTTGAACACATCTCTCTGGCAAAGTGAAGAGTGGTCTATTTATTCAGGTTCACAAAACAGCTTTTAAATAGAGCGTAGGAAAGCAAGAGTTACAACATGCACAGAAATCCCTTCTAGAGTAGATTTATCTCTTTCTGCACCCAATTGAGGAATTCCACAAAGCACAATGCAAATTGCTAAGTGCAATGGAGTCCTAATATCTAGGCCTAGGAACAGTGAATGAAAATCCAGGTAATCTACGAACAGTCACTAAAGGGTGAAAAGGTGGCACTAATTCATCCATTACCAGCTCAGTTAGAATCTGACACTTCACCTATGCAAATTCCATAAATATGAATAATTGGACAAATATTTGACAGCTACTAGATAGTCCCCCAGGAAAGGATAATAAACTAATCGCCTACCCCTCCTATGGAGGGTTCAACAAAGCACAAAAAGTATAATCTGACCTTACATAGAGGGGAAACTACAGAGTGCTTCCCTGGGGTTTAGTTTAAGCCTCATGTTGCTTCAACTGTAAAGGATGAAGTATGAATAAAAGTTCTTGTGGTGTTTAAGGGGGAAACTCGGTAAGTGGAGGTGGACACTGTAAAACTGAAACAGCTAATTTGAACAAAACTAGCTGATTGGAAGGGGGTAAGTTTGAGCAGGAAAGAGAAATGCTGGGAGTTGAGCTCCTGCTGACTGACTTAGAAAAACAAGGTGTTTTGAGACATGCAGGTTGCAAACCTGAAGCCATTTCAGAGGTAAAGTGATGGAAATGCTTCAAAGGCAAGCTTTTTATGAGCAATGCTCTTTACATGCTAAGAAACTGAAGTGTTATGTTTTTTATTCCCAACATTAGATTGTGGCTTGCTGTAGAAAATGTCAGATACCCACCCCTTTTTCATGGAACTATGGATAGAAATATTGATGTCAGATTAACTTTTAGCTTTTACCACCTCCAGAGATCTGTTCCAATTAGAGGTGAGATGATATATTGGTCCATATCAGATCAGTACTGATAAAAGGAAAATTGGCATTATCGGCAGTTGGCTTTTTTGGCTGGTGTAACTGATAACGTCACCGATAAACGCCGCATGTGTGCAGCTGCAGCATGCATGCAGCCAGGAATGCGGTCAGGCAGTTTGGAAAGCAGTGTCTGGCTGGTTAAGTCTGGGGGTGAGGGAGAGGGATGCATGGGGGGGGCAGATCGAGGCCCCCACAGTGGGGGAGGGAATGGGGCTGGGGCAGAGGCAGGCGCTGCTCAGGTAGGGCGGGGCATGGGATGGAGCTGTGGGCAGCTCATCTGGGAGGGGGGCATTTCCCCATCACTGTGCGCACCCCTGGGGGAGACATGGGGGGTATGTGTTCCCTGCATTTGTACATGGGGTGAGGGTGGTCTGCCTGCTGTGGGCTTGGGGCCAGGGGCTGTACTGGTCTCTTCTCAGCAGAGAGGCTGTGCTTGGGGGGGAGGGGGGATGGGCAGCTGAGTGACAGCAGCACCGTTGGGAGGGGAGCCTAGGGGGTGAGTTACAGCCACCTCAATTTGCCACAGCCCCCCTCCCAGTGCTGCTACCTCCCACCCCAAACGCATCCCCAGCCCAGCCCCCCCTGAACATTTTATGAGCTAGTACATTGCTCATAAAAAGTTTGCCTTTGAAGCATCTCCATCACTTTACCTGTGAAATGGCTTCAGGTTTGCAACCTGCATGTCTCAAAACACCTTGTTTTTCTAAATTAGTCAGTAGGAGCTCAATTCCCAGCATTTCTCTTTGCTGCCCAGACTAACCCCCTTCCAATCAGCTAGTTTTGTCCAACCAGCTGTTTCAGTTTTACAATGTCCACCTCCACTTACTGAGTTTCCTTCTTAAATGCCACAAGAACTTTTATTCATACTTCATCCTTTACAGTTCTGGAGCAACATGAGGCTTAAGCTAAACCCCAGGGAAGCACTCTGTAGTTTCCCTTCTATGTAAGGTTAGATGAATACTTTTGTGCTTTGTTGAACCCTCCATAGGAGGGGGCAGATGATTAATCTGTTATTAGTAGCTCTCCTTTCCTGTGGGACTATCTAGTAGCTGTCAAATATTTGTCCAATTATTCATATTTATGGAATTTGCATAGGTGAAGTGTCAGATTCTAACTGAGCTGGTAATGGATGAATTAGTGCCACCTTTTCACCCTTTAGTAACTGTTTGTAGATTACCTGAATTTTCATTCACTGTTCCTAGGCCTAGATATTAGGACTCCATTGCACTTAGCAATTTGTATTGTGCTTTGCAAAATCCTTGAATTGGGTATAGAAAGAGATAAATCTACTCTAGTAGGGATTTTTTTGCATGCTGTAAGTCCTGTAGCTCGCCCCATTCCCTCCCTCACCATGGGGGCCTCGATTTGCCCCCCATCTTCCCCGACTTACTGGCCAGCCACTGTTTTCCAAGCTGCCAGGCAGCATATCGGCTATCAAATCAGTATTGGCCGATATGGCTGGTTAATAATCAACAAAAAAAATCTTTATTGTTGTACCCCTAGTTCCAATGTGTGCATAAGATTTTAAGTCTTCATATACTGACAGTTTGAAGCATTTCATTACTTTTATTTTTCTAGAAGAGCTTAAAGAATCATTACATTTCTTTTTATTGGAACAGAGTCATCTGTCTGTATCTGGAATTGTTTTATAAAAATGTGTGTGTGTGTATTTATTGCACGCATGCGCACGCGCACACACACGCACACACAAAACAGAATGCCTGATTTATATATAAATAACAGAAAGCAAATTAACTGTATTCAATTATAAAAGCATCCCACCATAATTAAATGCTCACAGGACATAGTCATTCATTTTCAAAGGAAGTATTGATCCACCCAGCCCCCTGTATACATAATAAAAGCTATACCTTGAAACCTTTGTCAAAAATTGATTTGTGAAATCACACAAACTCACTGAAGACTTTTTTTAGAAGAGATGCTTCTTAAAGAAAATTTGTTTCCATTGAAATTGATTAGCAATAACATTGTTTGCAATATTTTTTTTTTCAAATCAGTCAGTAGAGACCAGAAAATTTGGAGAGAAAATTCTCAGCCTTAGGCTTTTGTTTTCTTTATTCTCGTTCATTTTCTATGACTTAATATGCCAGTTACCATACAAATGGAAGGCACAGTTCCTTTCCTGACATTTTCTATTCTGAATTTGTAACCAATAACGTTTGTTACAAATTTACGAATGTGTGCCATTCTTCCCATATCCATACACCATGTAGCTGAGAATTTTGCTTGGTGAGAGTTGGGGGGGAGAGGGGGAAGGGGGAGGAAGGAAAGGGGAATATTTCTTCTAATAGCAAGGATGCCCAGCTACAGTCTTCATTCTCATTTTCTGTCCTGGAGGGTGACAAAGAAAGAAGAAAATGGAAGAAGGTTTATAGCTTGCCTTGTTGGCTTTTTTCTTTCTTTTTTTTTTGCTGTAGAATGTTGGGTTGTTTAGAAAAGGACTTCTCTTCAGGATCACTCTTCTGTTGTCTGGAGGGGTCACTATACTCTACATACGGTGGAGAATCATGGGCACAGGACCACCAGCGTTCACTGAAGTAGACAACCCAGCTTCATTTGCAGACAGCCTACTCATGAGAGTAAGTCACAGACTTGTTTTTTTTGGAAGTTAAAAAAATTGGTTTTTGAAAAGAAAATCCAATTATTTTAGTCCTTCAAAGAAACAATAAAATGAGCAAGATTTATATTTTTGTGCTGTGTGATGATGAGTCACTTTCATTTTTGCTATTGTGATGATTTTCTGTAGGTAGGGATTTTGTTTTTTAAGTAAATCTCATGTGTGCTCTGCGTTTAATTTGGTATGTGCTTTTCCACCCACCCTTCCTCTATTTCTGGAAGAAAGGACAGAATCCTTTCCCCCCTTTTTTTTCTTTTCAAATATTGAAAGCTGGCTCTACCTCTCTTTCTTCACTGTTGAAGAAAATTACTCGTGTCCTGACTAAATATGTTTTTTTGCTTTTTTCCTGGGTTGCTTTTGTGTGTGTGGTTTAGACATTTCCTTGCATTCTGGAAGATTGTCCCACCAAGATCTACATGTATAGATGACTGTCTATAACTGTATCTCTCATCCTGAACAGGACAGTTATCTATGTATGGAAAACAGCTTGTTTTATGCTGAAATCCTTGTATATTTTTATAGATGTAAAATGAATGGACCCATTCTTACTAAGAATCAGCATTTGTGTATCTTATAAAATGCACTTGTTGGGGGGAGGGAGAGAAGATTGTGAAGAAGAACTCTGAAGTTGGTTTTTTCCTCTTAAGTTTAGTATCAAATAAATGTTTGTTTTCCTTTGACTGACAGGCTATAAACTATAATTACTACTATTCGTTGAATGCATGGTTGCTGCTCTGTCCCTGGTGGCTGTGTTTTGATTGGTCAATGGGCTGCATACCCCTTATTAAATCAGTCAGTGACTGGAGAATAATTGCACTAGCAGCACTTTGGTTCTGCCTAATTGGCCTGATATGCCAAGCTCTATGCTCAGAAGACAGCCATAGGAGAAGGTAAGAGACAGTGTTGAATTTTAAATGCCACACTAACTTGGTACAGTATTATTTTGTTAAATCCTGTACTGATAATTCTAACAATTTGGTGGAACCAATACCTAGCAAATGTAGTTGAAATAAATATTTATATCTATCATTACTGTTTCATCCCAATTTGGGCCCATCACTATACACTGACTAGTGGGGAAGCACACTTGTAGGAGGGGGTATGGATGGCTGCTTTATTTTCCTCCTGAAATGGCATTTTGAGATCCTTAACACTGTAGGTGGTAAAAAGTAATTTGTGGTCAGAGCAGAGTGTAATTGATGTATGTTGTGTTCCTCTTTTTTACAGTTCTTCTTTCTTTTTTCTTTTGTAATAATGAAAAAAGGGTTTTTATAAAAGATGTAGAGATTCTGGCCACTGATTGAAAAAATAAAATGCTATCCCAAAGTGATTACTCTTTCATCATTGAAGAGTTACTGAGAAAATACTTGAAAACAACAACAGCCACACGTTATAGAATGGAAAATCAACTTACTACTCTTAGTATGACTCTATTTTTATATATATATTTATTTATTTATTTTATATATATTATATTTATTTACTTTATATCTATCTAGCTATCTATATTTACTTATCTACTTTTCTTCAGAATCTGTTTCACACTGCACATCCTTGAACTGGTTATATAATTTTAAAGAGGCAGCAAATTAAAGATTTTAATTGGAGTACATACAATTCAGTACTCAAATTACAGTTTCCCCCACCCCTCCCATCTCTTGCTCTGCCAGTTTAGTGCATTTCTTAAAATGTTAATCTCATATCTGCTTCCCTGTCCTTTACCTCTTCCTTTATTTCTTTGGGTTGAAGGGCATTCACTACACAAATGATTCAGTAATGTTTTAATTCTGTTAAAAACACAGACTTGTGAAATGTGCACAAAGCCACTGGCCAACACTCACGAGCACTTCCAAGCTATCAAAATAATTTTTAAAATGCCATGGAAGCCCAGCATATTTTGACGGGGATGGGGGCAGTTATAATTTGAAGCTCCAAAAGACTTATTAAAAATAATTACAGATGTTAAAAAAAAAACAAAACCATGCAAAAAAGAAGTTTGTAGATGTTCACCAGTACATCGGTCCCATATAGGATCGGCACTAATATAGGGAAAATTGACAGTATCAGAAATCCACTTTTTTTTCCTGATGTGGCTGAGAAGTGCCCTTTGCATGCACACAGCTACAATATGCATGTGGCCCGGAGCGCAGTCCGGCAGCTTGGAAACCAGCATCTGGTTGGTAAGTCTGTTGTGGGGGAAGGGGCATGGGGATGGGGGTGCAGATCAAGGCCCCTGTGGTGAGGGAGGAAGTGGGGCAGAGACAGGGGCAGGGGTGAATGGGGCCCCAGGGCTGGGGCAGGTTATGAAAGGCTTGGAACCCGGGTGGCTCGTTCAGGAGGGGGTGTCGGGGGGGCTCCTGCTGCTGCATGCACCCACAGGGCAGGCACATAGGGCATGTACCCCTCCCCATCTGTGTGCGGGGCGGAGGTGGCTGCCGCTGCGGGCTGCACTCCACACCCTGCTACAATG